TTCTGTCTTGGTAGCTGTGGGTCATATGTACTGGGCCAGCAGTTTTCTAATATCCTCACCAACTGCTATTTGAGTAACCCATTTCAGTAAGGAGTACCAAGAAATATTGTAGAAATTGTAAAAATCCCAGTTAAGATTATGTACCTATGTTAGTCACCAAAAACCAGTAAGTAGGTGGTAAGAAACCACAAGAACAGATCAAAAGGATGTGCTTGGTGTTTGGTGAACTTTTTTACACACTAAGCAAATGGCTTGAGGTAACCAAACAAAGACCAGCAATACTTTTAAGTAGTTACCTACCTTTTCAGTTAAGCTTTCTGATCCAAGATTTGTTCACTTAAAGAAAAAATGTGAGTCCCTTCAACATTAAAGGATGAAACTTTTTCATCACTTCCCAACCATTAAATATATAATGTTAGAGTATCTTAGTATCTACCTTAAAATTGTAATCAAGGAGAGAAGAGATATAAAAGGTTCATGCTCGATTTAAAAGGAACACTGTAATTTAGAAAGATTTCACTTGTAAAGGGGATCAGGAACAGAAGGGAGAAGGACAATAAAACCATGACTTTCAACCCTCATACAGGGAGTTTAAATTATTTGGGGATTGGGGGCAGGGGCAGCATGTCAAAACCCACCAGGTTGAACTTTCCCCCCACCTTCTCTGGGAGAATTGCTTCATAGGCCAGTCCACTGGGGTTGGAACTGCTTGGATTAATCACACGAGTCCACCGGGGGCCCTAGTGTCTTTTGTATCTTTCCACATCAAAGGATGATTTCATTTCAAGCCATTTGCTTTGGATGAAGATGAAAACAACAACAGCAAAAATCTGAAATGACCACCACAGGCAATGGGGGGCAATTGCAAAGGAAAAAAGCCACAAACCAAAGCAATAACTTACGGTAGCTACTTTCGCTATCGCTGGCATTAGAAGAAGCATGTTCTGCAAGAACAGCACAGCAAATTAAAAAGATACCAAGCATTGGCGAGCAGCCAGAACTTAAAGGCACACACTCATGCACGGCAACTAGAAATGGGAGCAAAAGGCAAGTAAAAGGCCGCAGAGGAGACCGCATTAAGGAAACGCAGATAAGATAAAAAAGATGAAAACTTTATCTTCATTTTTCAGAAAACTACTACTTGATTGCTGTGTGTGTTTTTTTGTTTTGTTTTTTTTTTAAGGAAAGTATCTTTAATTACAAAAAAAGTATAACGTCAAGCTAAGCACTTTCCTTTTTATAAATACTTTGACCTGTTCCTAGGTCTGATTTTCCAGAGTTGTGTTATTGGGTGTCTCAGCTAGATGTTTCTTGACTATAAATTCAGGGGTTTCTAAACTGGCAGTTTTCTTGTAGGCTTTTTGGTTCTCTATTTTAGCCTTTAGGTATTTTGTAGGAATATTGCATTTCAAATTGCCAATTGATCCCTGGAGTCCTTTGAATTTTATTTCTATTTAAATACTTCCTAAACTAATTCTCAGGACGAAAAAGGATTGCTGGAGATCTTCCCTGCTTCAGAGAGTGAATAGAAGATCTTGGAGGAAGAAATGAGTCACGGAAAAATGATTCATGAATTAGTTCTATAATTCATTGTTTGTATTTTAAGATTCTTCTTTGGATAGTTATTAGTTTCTGGAAGGATAAAACAGGCAGGAGATAAGTGAGCTGATACCAAGCAGGTCCTGGAATGAAAGATGTTTTGAATTTATGTTGAATGTCTTGCTTATACAGTGATATTACTTTTAAAAAAGCAAACAAACACAGTTTACCTCACATAACAGGGATGTATAAGCCAGAATTAGAGCTTTTATTTCCAAAATTATATCCTTTCATCTGTACTGTGTATTAAATTATAGAAGATAATTTATCAACTTATTGACTGCTTTGTATATCAGTTAAATTAAATGAAGAATATGTGACTATTAGATTTCTGAAGCTTATTAATAATAACTTTAGCTTTTTAAACAGTGATAACTATTGTGCATTTTTAGAAAAAGGAAAAGAATACATAACATCATTCTCTAATGGTAAAGATGTGCTTAAAAGTATTTGATATAGATTCTTGTCAACTGAATGGATTAGTTTTATTTAGCTTTATTGAGGGATAACTGACAAAATTGTAATACCTTTAAAGTATACAATGCAATGATACATATATAAACACTGTGAAATGATTCCTATGATTGAGTTATTTAGCGCACCCAGGATGGATTAGTTTGCGCATGAATCGAATAAAAATCAAAGTATGGGTTTCATACTTTGTGAATCATTTCTCTTTGAATTGATGTATGACCAGCACTGCATCGCTAATTTAGGTAGTGCACTAGGGAAAGCAGTGTGGATGAATCAGTTTCTATTACTGAAAAAAGCCAGGGCATATACCCAACAATGGTTTATCTGAATGCACACGATTATTTTAAGTACTTTGAATTGGGAAAAAGGGTTTGTTTTTTTACCAAGCTCACTTATCTCCTGCCTATTTCATTCTTTTTGTTTGTTTGCTTCTGATTTTTACTTCTTAAGTAACTCAGAGTGAAGCTACACTGTCTATGGAGAAATTTAGGACCATGCAGTGTTTTATTTAACAATCTCTCTCAGCATCAAGACATTGTATAATAGAATTTTTGTAGGTAAAAGGAAATTAAAAACGTGTTCCAGCAAAAGTCCAAATTATGGCTAACAAAAGCATTAATTGGTGAATGATGCTACTGAAATCTGTTCAATTTTTTAGAGTAAGAAAACATTTGCACTTTCTAGATTTAAAAGGGCATCACTCATATTTTTGACACTATAGCAACTACTTATTAGTGATGTTCATTTATTAGCAATGCATTGAAATGTCCCCCCCCCCCCAATGGAAAATTTAGAAACTCTCTCTGGTGGTACTTGATGCTATCCAGATAATGTTAAAATTAATATCTGAATTGCAGCTGTTAATTCAAGAAAAATTTCATGACCTGTTCCCTATAGAGACTCAAAGATAAAGTTTTCATCTTTAAGGAGATCAGTAGTTTATTCTTGATCAGATTTTGTTTTCTGTATATGTAACTAAAAAAGAAAAAAATCCAAAGTAACAATTTGAAGGATGAAGGGTATCATTAGGCAGGGTTATATAAACAGCTCTTGAAAACAAAGTTCAGCTCAATGTTATTTTGTTTTATACAAATGAAATGATCAGCTTCTAAAAATATTGCTTATAGCTATTAAATTAAAACAAAACAAACAAAAATTGAACATGTGATACAGTTGCAAAAGACACAAAACTCTGTTCTTATTTCACTGGTGCCTACACAATGAAGTTAGTACTAAAGAAAGAAAAATCATAGCATAGTGTATTAATATACAAGATTATTTGTTATTGCTCAGTGCAACGAGACACAGATAAAGGCATTAATAACTAAATGATTTAAAGGTTTAATATATTTAGTTTTCCACTATAAAATGAAGACCTGTTATGTAACACAGCTAAGCTAATACATCACTAATAGAATAACATATTAACACATGTCTAAAACTTTTATCATACAAACATTTCAAGCAGGACCACTGAAAGTCAGAAAAAAAAGCAATCAACGTTAATAACAAAGAATTAGTCATGGAAGATCAAATAGCTTAATATTTACACTTTGAGAATGCATGTTCCTTTTGACTATAAAATAGCTCCTTTACTAATAGCCAAGTACAAGCCAATTATCAAATTTGGCAAGGTCTGGGTGAAAAGGCAGAAGAAAGGACATAAAGTACACTTCCGCCTTCCTGTTCTAGAACATTTAGCTTGCCCTTTCCCTCAACATGGCTCCTTGCTCTCTGGGAGAAATTAGGCTGCAGAGCAAGGGATGCCATAGTTGGCAGCAGGACCATGTTGGCCATATCACACGGTCGGAAAGGGAAGGTGTGAATCGCAACAGAAGTTACAGTGCCCGACGACACACTTGGCTTTTAAATGCTGACATGCAGAGCAAAACGGTTGAAAATTACTTTGTAGGAGCATTCACAGCTACGTAACAAATAAAACTCGTATCTTGTGCATGCTAGGAGTAGAAGGCCCTCAAGTAAAGGAACAAAAGCCAAACTCAAAAGGAAGGGAAAAGAAAAGGAAAGTTACAGTGACCATTCCTGGGAACTTACTCAGAGTCTTTGTTCCATAACCGTCGTCACCTAATCCGGGGATGTCCTGCATGGAAGTCCCCAGAGAGAGCAATGAGAGAGGAAGAACAGCCGCGGAAGAGGAAGGAAGAAGTCAGTGGAGTTGAAATGGATACTACCATGACAGACCGCGTTGCCTAAGCAATCTGGATCCCAATCTCTCTTATTTTGAAACAGCTTTCGCCCCAAACTCCCTGGGCTGAGACTCCAGAATTTGTAAAATAACTCAAAAGGTTTGAGCAGATGATTGTTACAAAAACGAGAAAGATTCAGCGGATGACATTTTTGCCCATTGTCCACATTGTCACAAAAATATACCACTTAGAGCAATGATTCACTCCAGCTTTCATGACCAATTCTTAGATTTCATACCCACCAATACAAGCTCACTGCTCAGCAGGAGTTTAGTAGTCATTGGCAGTGAAAGAGTGAACAAATGCTCGTTATCAATATAGGGAATTTAATCACTTCCAATTAGCTAGCATTCTAAAAAATGCAAGTGGCAATGGAATCCAATATTTCTGTCCAGAATAGAATTCATCTCAAGCCCTAGAGAGTTGCATGAGAGAAAAGGCAAACCAGACCCAGTCCTGGTCACAGATAAATGCTCTATGGAAGCCAAGTCCCAGCGTCCTCAAGCCCCTCTCCAATGCATCCTGCAAAGAAGAGCCACTCGAAGGAAGGATCCAGACTGCAGCCAAACACTGGTCACAGCAGTAAGCCCTGACCTGCCTGCCTGCCGTGTTTGTTTGCCTGGGCGTGTGGCGTGGGAGAGCCTACATCATGCGTGTTGCCGGTGAAGGATTTTTTTTCTCTTGTGTTGCAGGTGACATTCTCTTTGAGAATCTACTTACGTTCAGGATCACTGGTTTCCTGCTCACTCTGCTCCTTGTTCTTGTAGAATGGGAATTTTCGTGAAAAGATGAAGCTCTTTTTACGCTTGTCATTGAATGACTGTGAAGGAGAAAAGGCATGGGGCAAAAACAGGGGACGTCTAATTGTTGTCACACTCATGCTGACAAAACAACTAGTTTGTAAAAGCAGAGAGAGCTGTAGTGACGCAAGGGGATAGTCGAAGGAGGCGCCAGCGGGTCCCTAGAGGCAGATTTTACTTTCAAGGAGTGTAAATTCTGAGTGATGACACCTTGGAAAAGTTGTATCCGAATTAAAAAACTGGTTGTAGCTGAATGATAATAGAGTATTGAATTGGAAGCTCTGTCTCTGTCCAGCTCTATGACTTGCCAATCCATGACCTTAGACTGAATCTTTCTGAACCTCAGTATCTTCTTCATCAACATAATGCGGATAATGAGAGAAGCTCTTAAGTTGTGAGACTCATGTAAGGCAGTGGAAATGTAAAGTGCTAATCAAATGTTATCTTTATCATTATTATCATCGGGTAGAAAAGATTTTATTAGGATACTAGACACATAGATGTCTAGATGTCTTTTTAAATAACTTGTCTTTTTGAATTACTTTAACTTAGATTTAATTAAAACTACACAGAAAAGTATATAGATTTATGACATGATAATTATAGCTGTTTCACACACAGATAAATAATTACAACATTTTCATTCATAAGTGATTTTAAAGATAATTAGCCCAAGCCTTCATTTGTAGACAGGGGGCCAGAGGCACAGAGAGGTTGAGTCTCTTGCCAATATCACAGAGCTAGCTGGTGACTCAGTCAACCAAAATCTGTTAAAATTGTTGCTAAAGAAGTATCAACTCCATATTCATGCAAGCAAGGGAGCTATCACAGCTACTTATCTATATTCTGATATGATAAAATATCGTTGAAGAAAGACCGTCCTTAAAAATGTAAACCATTCCAGTAGCTTAAATGAGGCTGGATTAAAAATAATAATTTTTACCTGTACTAGAACTTATTTATTCAAGTGACTATCAGACGCTTGCCTAGAAGACTCCTTGAAGATTTTTCATTTATTCCCATTGTTGCTATTATGGAAAATGCTTTCTGGGGCTCTTCTTTGGGAAATGTGCTCACAGTCATTTTATAACCACACAAGTCTTAGTAAGTTCACTTATCATTTAAAAAAATGTTTTGCCAGCTTGACTGCCATCCTTACTTGACTGATTTGGCTCTGAGGGTCACTCTCCAAGGAACAAGACATATTCCCATTTAGGTATTGCAGGGAATGTAATAGACTCCCAGGGTAATTCAACAAGGAGTATTCTAAATCATTCTTCGCAATGGCAGCTGGTAGAGCCAGCAAGGCGACTGCTTGGAAGAAAAGCACTTGTTTACATGCATGTATTTGGGTCCATTGGTATGAATCAATTATGGGTCTTTACAGATTTGAAGCCTGAGAAAATTGTGTAAATAACTTATTTTACTTGTATATTCATGCACTTCTACATCAACATCCATTTTGGTCGTCATGTTCATTTAGGAAACGTGAAAGTACTAAAATGTTGGTGCTGTCAGTTAGTGAGCCATTCATTACTTTTTCAGTTACTAGAAACTTTCACCAAAGTTGGGAGAGCTTAATTTTATGTATCATTAAGAAGGCTTGAAGAAAAACATTAAATCAGATGTTTAGTAATTTCTGAAATAAAGGGACATATTTTATACTTAATATTCTAGAACCAGAAATATTCTCAGGGGACAAAAAGAAGTATCACTTCAGAATTTATTACTCTGTCGACAGCACTTAGGTTCAATATGGTTTTATCATAATTTGTAATTGAGAATTGGTGTCCAAAGACAAGGATGGGAACTAGTCTCCCCCCCTCCCCAATTTTTCCAACTAAAAAATGGTAAGTTCTTAAAGGAACATTAAATATTCTTGCATCACTCCAGTTTCATGCCACTTTTACATTTCAAGCATATTTAAACTTCAGTGACTGAAAATAAAAGAAAAAAAATGTCATGTAAGAATTAATGACACGTGACATTGCAAGATATGTTAGACATTTAACTTCAACAGTATGGATGACTTGTCATGCAAAAAAAAATTTTACAAATTTTCATGCAAATACAAAACAGTGCCAAGATGAGTAAAGCCTGGGGTTAAAATGTAGACACAGATGGACAATGAAGGAAGCCTTGAGAGACAATATGGGGCCACGTGCAAACCACATCATTTAAATTGTCTCACGGGGTCAAAGGAAAATGAACATGTGTCGCCTGTGATTAATTCTTTTATCTTTTCAAAGCAGGGGCTGTAATGTGTTAACATTTCCCAAGTATCAAAATGTTGTGCATCATGAGTCATCTGATTGGGACATAATATTTAGCACCACACTTGTAAAAGAACAGAAAATACATAACAATTCCTCAAAAAGGAAATCATCTAACATAGTCTTATTACCCAAAGCCATTTTGTGTTGGAGTTAAAGAAAAGTAATGGAATCATTGGAGGTTACATTTATGGACACAAAATCAAATCACAACTTCAGTTCACACAGGTTTAAACGTCACACATTTAAGGTCTTATTTCAACATTTCAACTATAAGAGGTTATATGTGGTTTATGATGTTCTACCACTATTTTTTATTAGACATGTTTAATGCCATTATATAAGATTTTTGTTGCTGTTAGATTTTCTTTAAATTTAGAAAAGGAAAATCTGTTATACCAGTGTTAGGTGAGAATAATAAATTAGCACTTTTACTAGTTCCAGAACACATGGCTCTAAAGCAACTGAAGGCTGGTTTACAGCGCTATCAATCATACCTGATCAAGGTAAATTTTTCTCTCTCTACATTACAGTATCTTAAATCCCCATCCATTGGTTTCATGGAAGGAAACTTTTTTGAATAGAGATTTAAAAGAATACCAATCACATGTGGCAAGTTGGCATATCTAAGAATTCCATTTTGGAATTTGAGCTGAATTATTGAGTTTTTATGAACAATAGTGATAAAACAACAACAGCTAGTGTTTATTGAGCAACTATTATGTGCCAGGGTTGGTTGCAAAGCTCTACATGTGCTAACCTCCACACTAACTTTACAAGGTTGGTACCATCATTATTCTCCTATTACAAAAGAAGAAACTGAAGTTTAAAAATCTTCTGTTACTTGTCCAGAGTCACACAGTTGGCGAGCAGTGAAGTCAGGATCTGAATTTGCCAATATTTGTTGTTCTTATGAGAAAAATGAGGTTCTGTAACCAGAGCCTGTTTCATGTTTATATTTAAAATCATTTGTCTTTATATTTAAAAAGCTTTTGTCTTTCTTAAGTGATAACATAATCTGTCATTATTCCCACAGCTTCCTTGCTTGGCCATGCTTTTTAAAAATCCATCAGATGCTATTGCTTCAATAATATCTCTGTGGTTTACCCTGCTACAATTTTTGAATACCCATTTATGTTTTTCAGGGCTCTATCCTTTGTACTTATTCTTATGATAATGTAAAAAAATAAAAAAGTATTTCAATGTAACAGGCTATGAACAGGATTGGAGGTAGGGAATTATGGGAGTGGGAAGTGACAAGTAATGGGTAGGGTGTTTACTTTAGGGGAGATAGAATGTTTTAAAATTAGATTGTAATGATAAGTGCACAACCCTATGAATATACTAAAAATAATGCATTGTGAACTTTAGGTGGGTAAATTGTATACTGTGTGAATTATGTCTCAATAAAGCCATTAAAAGAATCCCAAAACAAAATGGAACCCCTCTGCCAAACTCTACACCACGTGATGAGAGGAAACAATCACAGCATGTTTTCAATTTTATTTGGTCTAAATATTTTTTATCTTTAATTGAATGAGAGGAACCCCTCTCCCCCAACCCTTGCAATCAATCCGATACACATGCCTTGTTTATTTGATTCTGTTGTGTCTCTGTGAAATGAATACCTTTCATGTTGTGACAGACATTAGAACACCTGTACCAGGAGTCAGCATATTACATCACTGTCACTCAAGAAGAAATTTCTAAATTGTTAGGTCAAATGGCATAAAATTGCCCAGCCTGACCCCAAGATGTAATGGCATTCGCAAATTGGCTTAAGATAAAATACACACACAAATAACAAAAGGAAACAACACCAAAAACTTCAAATTGCTACTTTTCCCACTCAAATCCCATGTTCTTAAGACATGTGAGTGATTTGACATACTTTAATCCTTCCCATCCAGAAAACTTTCTAACTCTGGGTATGTTTCAGTTTTCTTCTACCTTAACCAAGAGATCCAATATAGCATCACCAAAACAGTGGGAAAACTTCACACCATATGCCTCCTGATGGGAAGTACTGAGAAATACACAATATTACTTATGTAGTATTCCTACCAAAGATGCATTACTTGCAGCTAACCATGAAGAAATAATCAGGAAAATTAATATTAAGAGACTACTCTTAAAATATCACAATGTTATGAGAAATATAAAAACCTAAAGAACCATTCTAGATTAAAGGAGGTTAAGGACATAGGAAAAAAGGAATGCAATGTGTGGTTCTTGACTGAATTCTGGATCAGAACAAAAATTCATAATTTCTAGAACTTCCTTTCATAATAAATTAGGATGTATATATAGCTCCCCTCATATATAGGATGTCCTCTGAAAATGTATACACACTTTAACAGTTGATAGTTCAATTTTGAAAATAAAATGTATTTTAATAAACACTGCCTTTATAATTATTCAAAGTGTGTGTATACATTTGTTGGACACCATATATATATTCTTACACAGAATGACAAAACAAGGTAATTGTTAAATTTGAGTAACAGGTACAAGAAGTTCAGAATTCTATTCTTTCTACATTTTTATATGTTTGAATGTTTTCATAATAATGAACTGTGATTCATAGCTCACAGACTAAAATTATCTAGAGATAGACTGCAGACCTAAGTATAAAAGCTCAAACTATAAAATTTCTAGAAGAAAACATAGAATATATTTATTATCTGAGGTAGGCAAAGATTCCTTGGATAGAGCATAAAAGCACAGATAATAAGTTTAAAAAGTGG